TAGCTGATCACTCATCATCCAGCCGCTTCCTTTATCTATCTGCAGTAACTTCCTCAACGTGCGCTTTCTGCACATATAGTCGTTTTTACTTTCTTTGTCTGTCGGAAAATGCGCACAATCTGCTGTAAAACATTTACTCATTCATTTGCTTTAAAACTGAAAATTTGAAATTGAAACTAAAGCCAACTTAACAGCACTTAATAGCACAAAGAAGGTCGAAGTTTACAGGCTGCAACTCTATACGATGCAGCACCTCACTATTTATTATATGCGGGGGACATTTAATTATCATCACACGTCTTAGACTACATTGCTGGAAGGCTGTGAGTTGAAGATGATATTCTTTCAGTCATACTCTTCAACTTCGTAACAGAACTGCACGTTGCTTAAAATTCATGACTTTCGCTGAGGTATTCCAAAGTCAATGGATGAATTTTCGTTCAGTTTCCTCCACTATGAGCTGGCCATCGATTTATCGTCATCCATGTTGAAGTTACGCATTAACAGTTGATGCATTAGTTTCGCCTGATCGAGCCACGGCATTCTACTGCTTCTAAGCATCTCAGATAAGTCTGCGAAGATGGCTGAATCGAAAATGCTGTCGTTTTTGACATGATCGTATCTTATCCTCAGCCTGCCTCTTAATGCCTGTATACTGTCAATAAACACGGCGTTCAAAGTTTAACAGCAACACTGATTGGAAAGCAGCCATGCAATTATCGCTATCAATTAAGTAATGACATCGCTACATGTTTCTCATCGCAAGCAAAGCTACGGAGGTGATTCCGATATTTTTCATGCCATTACTATTATTTTCAGCGTGCCTTTCAAATAAAACATCACTTATGTACCGTATGAAGAAAGATCTGTTAAACTACTGCTAAGAAATTACCATTCCAACCACCGTGAATACAATTCATCAGACTGAGGTCGAAATGTCGATCTATTTAAGTTTCTATTACAAACATGGCTGAATATGGTACACAATTTTTATACGAGAAGGATTATGATATTCTTCGAAATTTCCTGAACGGGTAAACAAATTTTATTTACGTTTTTCAACAAATTAACGTTTCAGAAGAGGCTCGGTTCATAGGTCAGTTACGATAAATTACGCAAATGCTATTTTTATACGGGTAGATTTTATCAGCATGGCTGATGATGCATCATTTGCCACACGTATGAAGTGACCGTCAGCGACACAAGCAGTGAAACCATCAAACGGTCGCTTGAGATCAGTGACAAGAACGGCAACGTCAATCGTAATGGTCAACTGGAGCTGCATGAAAATAACGCAGCGCATAAATCATAACTTAATGTAACTCTGAAGACTGACAGGACTTGGTCCGAAACTAGAATGTGTTGAAAAGATGCAAGTAGATTTTATGCGTAGTTCAACCGTTCATGAAATACAAAATAACCCGTGTTTTTCATGAGCAGTGCAAATTTCCCGCTTGAAAATTTCTTATACGTATAACATTTACGTTCTGAGCGCACGAAATGCGACAACGGATTGAATTAACAGACGTGGTTTCCGCTTTTTAAGACGCAAAAAGTTTAGCCGGCCGTGTGGCTCGCTGAGAGACAGTTAGTGAAGATCAAGAATTATGACATGGATTCTACTGGATCAATAAATCGTGCGTTTACTTGATCCACTCAGTAGTTGATGAACACGCTGAGAAGAGTCAGTGGTCAAACTGGTTGCTCAGCAGTGGAAGCAGAAAACGGCGAATAGAGAATGGGATTTACGTCCATGGTCCGCTCATAACGAGTTGAATAACAGATTAGATTCACCAATGTATACGTAAATACACTTCGAATAGTGCGACTAAAATTGCTAGTACTAATAATAGTACTAATACTAACCGCATAAACTCATTCTGCCAAGATTTTAGAAACTGATCTTTGAACATGAGACACACACATAGTTGCTAAATGAGCCAACTGCCATACCATTTTGTATACAGCCTTTATGCACAGGGACTGTTTCAGGGTTCGTATGATACTGTTCAGTACATCAGGAATGGATAGCGTTGTGAGACTTGTGAGCAGGTCAATCATGTTCTGTTGTTCAGTCGAATAACAGTACTAAATTACCGTATCAAACAGGAAAATAGATGGGCAAAGATTGCTGACAACGCTGTAGATTACCTTGGTTTCAGCGATGGCATGATTCGACCAGATCAACGCGAAAGAACACAGTAACTGTCGGTCGTAATTCTGCGCGAAAGGACTTAAAAAACGGATTATTTGTTCAGGCAACTGCTACAACAACGTTAATTGCTAAATACACTGTAGACTAGAAGTAAAGCAAAGCGAAGCCCACCTGCAAAAATCCTTGCCACTGCAGAGAATTAGAGCATTTTCTTCCGACGGCATACATCGAGCAAAGTGCTTCAAGTAGCCGAGGGAAAGCGGCCAAAAGCCGTTGCCCTGCCAAAAAAAGAAAATCACTGTCTTCGCTGGATTTCGCCTGGCAATCTTCTGACTAAAAAAGCCATGCAAACTGAACCGTGAACAGCTGAAAAATTAAGCTTTACTTGAGAGAGAATACCACTAAACCTGAAAACACGGAAAAAAGCAGAAATGATTTCACCAGCAG